GGATGGAGCTTGGATGGAGCTTCAGGCCAAGGCCCTCGCTGTGAGGAAAGGAGCCAGGTGGGGAAACGAGGGGTGGGCTGTGGTAGGGTAGGAGCGCCATCTGTACCTCCCTGCAGATCTCGGCCATGACACACGGAGTCCATGTCCACGACACGTTCCCCACGTGAATGCACAGAGCTCCCTCTCCCACCACCCTCCCAGCCGACGTCAGCCACACAAACCTGTCAAAAGCCAATGACGAAGACTGCCCTGCCCAGCTCACCTCAGGGAGCTCCGACCCCAGCCCCAGAGGGAGCCTGGGCCTCCAGTTCGGAGATGAGCTCCTGCAGCAGGGGTGGAGTCGAAAGGGGAAATCCAGCTGACTCCAGGCAGGGGTCCAGAGCAGGTGGGGGCCTGCCCTGGGCCCAGCCAGGCCTGCCTGACTCAGAGGGTGGGGTGACCCAGGGAGCTCTCACTGCCTGGGGCACCCCAGGGGACTTGTCTGGCCAGTTTCCCCATACTTGCCACATTGGCATCTTATTTTTAATTCCTCACATGTATCCCCCTGGGGATAGTTTCATTCAGACCAGGAGAGGGCAAGAGGGAACCCCAGAGAGAAGTATAACCCTCCCACGACCAGCTGTTTATCAGCTCAGCTCTGGAAAGCTACGGACAGGCTCTGGCTGGAGGACTGGGCCTGGCTTTCCCCGGGAGGCAGAGGTCAGTGGGGAGAAAGGATCCTCCCCCATTCGGCCCGGGGCCACCCGGCGTAGACAGGACCAGACTGAGAGGAGACCCGGGATCGGGGCCCTCTGCCGCCTCGACTGAGCTGTGTGACGGGGCACAACCCTCTCTCCCTGGGCCCCAGTTCTGTCATCCGGATGAGCACTGAGGTCCTCCCCAGCTCTGCAGCTTGGCGATTGTGACCCAGTTTCTCATAGCTCTCCGAGCAGGAAGTAGAGTGGCCCTGGTGGCTGGAACGCTGCCCGTGGCAGAGGTGGAAGCAGAGCTCCAGGAGTGACCCTTGTGTCGAAGGGCCTGGCTTCAGAAGGGCCTCCAGAGAGCTGACCGTGCCTCCTGACCCTTGTCTGGGCAGTTACTTTAACACAGAAAGTCACAGTAGGGGAGACCCTCCCTCAGGTGAGGTGCAGGGACTGGTGTCAATTACTTGGGGATCAATCGGATCCAGACCCAGCCACCTTTTCATGATTAGCCTACGGCTTCCGGATGCCTGAGAAAGTATTTCTTAGTCCTCTGAATTCACCACCTCAGACAGGGTGAGGAGGCTCCAGGGAGGGCGCAAAAGCCCCTGCTGTTGCCCTCACCCCCAATCTAGCCCTTTGCAGGCCTGCGTGGGATACCGGCAGTGAGGCTGCACTTGGAGGACGACCTAGGTCCAGACAGTTCCGAAAGAGCACGGGCCTTGCCGAGCCTGTGCCTGGCTTCTCAGGGCTGCTGCCTCCCCTGACCCAGCGCAGCCTGGCCCAGGAGGTGCCCTCCCCTCGTGAGAAGGGAGGACAGGGAAGTTTGAGGCCCAGCTGGTTTAGGACAGAGTCACTCCCCACCCACTCTGACTTGGAAGGGCTGGGGACAGGTGTGGGAGGCTGTATCTGTGTGAACCACACCCTCAGGAGCTCAGTCTTCTTGCTTCTCATTCTCCCGGCCTCCTGCCCCAGCTGGAAGAAAGCCGAGGACGTGGCCCTGGCCCGACGCCCGAGGGGGAGGAGCCAGATTCCCCTCAACCCAGGAACAGGTGATGAAAGATTTTGGGGCTGCTCTGTATCTTGTGACCTAAATCAGGAGCACAGAGATGTCCCAGGGATATGAGCCATTAGGCCAAAGGTTCCTAATCGAAAGGTGCCTCATAGATGGGCTTGCAGGGGCCTGAGAGGCCTCTGCTAAAATTATAAGTAAAATTGCACACATGTGGCCCAGAGCCTCATTGTGGTCTCAGAGGGGCTGATGGCGTGGGCCTGAAAGAGGCAAGAAACCCTCAGCCCAGCAGGCCCCAGCAGCTGGATGGGAGTTTGGAGAAGCAGACGAGGAGATGCATGTAGTTCTGCAGGCTGGTGCTGGGAGGGAAGATAAAAGCTTCTAGATGGTGGGTGGAAGGGAGCGTAGGATGGCTTGAATAGAGCTTGGACCCTGGAGCCTGGCTGCAGGTGTTCAAACCCCAGCTCTGCCACTAAAGAACTGTGTGACCTTAAACAAGGTACTGCCACATTCTCTGCTTCACTTTCTCCATCTGTAAAATGGGAATAGTGCCTGTCACACAGGCCGCTCCACCTGCCTTTCCTCATTCAGCTGGCGCGGAAGGCATGGAGTGAACTTCCCCTTCGGGGTCCAGTTCCTGCCTCTGTAAAATGAGGCTGGTGTGGACCCGATAAGCCCCTCTGAGTTGGCAGTTCTCCGTGGGTGCACTCTCACCCTCACCAGGGAGGGGGTGTGAGTGTGCTGGGGAGGTCTCCATGTCCTGGGACAGGCTCTGAGGCTTGCCTGGAAGGACCACTCCCAGGAACTCCAGCCAGACCGGCCAGCCAAGCCCCCTCCAGTGGCTGCCTGACTAGGGTCTGCACTGCCCCTGAGCGGGGGCACTAGCTGGCCCAAACCAGATCTAACCAGAGTGTGCAAACCAGAGCTGAGGAAAGAAGGCTGGGACTCCACTGGTCACTAAAGGGAACCAAAGTGTGTGGGTGGGGCATACAGGATACCAGCCAATCAGAATAAACTCAGCTGTGCCGCATTAACCCTTTAGTTGCTGCAGGTCTGGGCAAGAACCCAGGACAGCAGAAGCCAATTAGGGGGCAACAGCCATTTAATTCAATATTTTAACAACCAGAATAGGTATGGGTGTGTCAGCCCTGGGCTCACACCTCTGTGATTCTGAGTATGCATGCTGGGGGTGTGTGAGGGGAGAGTGTTACCTTCAGCAACAGAAAAATCTCAAAATTATTTACTTTGCATTTATGACCCTTATACAGTTTTATGCTGGAAACAAAGTCATGAGTGACTCCTTTGCTTTACACCTCTTTGTGGGCAGTGTACTTTCTGTATTTGTCTGTAATGTCTATGAATTGTTTTTATAAGCAGAAAATACATTGTTTAAAGTTGTATTTCCAGAGGTCTGTGTGGTTATAGCAAGGAAAATGTAAGACTCATTCTACCCCATCTAGACCCCAGGGTCTGGTTGGAGAGGTCAGACAAACAACAGGAATAAAGTGGTGACGGAGAGAGAGAGGCGGCAGTGCTGGGCATGCTGTTAGGACCCGCCAGTGCCCAGCCAGGGCGTGGGGCACCTGCGTCTAACAGGCTCCTGAGAACACAGGCCGGGATTTGGTGGCTCATCCCTCCAGGTGGTACAAACCCTCACCGACATCAGTAACAATATGATCACAACCAGGACCTGTCCAACAGGCAGGAGTGAGCCTAGAGTTGATGGGGCTGACTGCCCAGGTGCTGGACCTGCACTGTCCGATACAGCAGCCACTGGCCACAAGTGGCTACTGAGCACATGGAAAGTCGCTGGTCAGAAATGGGGTGTGTGTGCTCTAAGTGCGGTACGCCAGATTTTAAAGATGTTGTATGAACCCTAAGAACCCTGAAACTCCAATTCAGAAGAACCTATGCACCCCAATGTTCATAGCAGCACAATTTACAATAGCCAAGTGCTGGAAACAGCCTAAGTGTCCATCAGTAAGTGAGTGGATCAAAAAACTATGGTATATTTACACAGTGGAATTCTATGCAGCAGAGAGAAAGAAGGAGCTCCTACCCTTTGTGACAACATGAATGGAACTGGAGAGCATTATGCTGAGTGAAATAAGCCAGGCAGTGAAAGACAAATACCATATGATCTCACCTATAAGTGGAGCCTAATCAACAAAACAAATGAGCAAAATAGAACCAAAGGCACGGAAACAAGGAACAAATTGACAGGGACCAGAGGGCAGGGGGGCGGGGGATAAGGGAGGAGAGAAGGGGAAGGGTCCAGGTAAAGAGCAAGAATGAATGACTGATGGACATGGACAACAGGGTGGGGATTGATGGGGGGGCGGGGTGCAGGGACAGGGGAGAGCAAAGGGAAATTGGGACAACTGTAACAGAACAACAATTTTAAAAAAAGGTATTGTATGAGCAAAGAATGTAAAACATCTCCTTAGTATTTTTCACATTGATTAAATGTTGAAATGATAATCTTTTAAATATTTTGGGTTAAGTAAAATATATTATTAAAATTAATTTTACCTATTTCTTTTAAGGTAAAAATTGGGAAATTACTGGAGACACACACAATGTGTCTACTGGGCGGTGCTGGTCTAGGCTGTCCCGAGCACCCAGGCATCGCATCACAGCGAGCAGAGCCGATCACAGAGCAGTCTCCCTTGTCGAAGAGCAAAAGCCCACCCACAGGCTACAAAAGGGAGTTTTTCAGTTTTCGCAGTTTCAGACTCATAAACAAATCTGCCCCAAATGCCCTTCTTGCAAAGGTCACTGCTCTTTGTCCTTCCAGACAGCTCAAGTGTCACCTCTTCCACAAAGTCCTCCTAGACCCCCGCTGCAGGATCGACTGCCCCTGCTCTGGCCTGTGTTCCAACAGCCTATTGATTTACCCGTGACCTGCCCAGGGAGCAGCAACGCTGGCCCAGTCATCTCCACATCCCAGCATCTAATGCAGACACGGGGCAGGCACGGAGCAGGTGGCCATCGATGACTGTCTGTGAATATAAATCCTGCTTAGCTGGAGGCACCCACCACTGCACTGCCTTTGCGCACAGGTTCCCGTCCCCTCTCCCTGGGTTTTTATGGGTGGAGCTGACACCTCTAATCCCAGCCTTTCTGCTGTGAGTCTCAGCCATGCCTCCTCCTCGTAGCCACCCTGGGCTGGCATCAAGAAGGAAGGAAATGAACGGAGGGTGTGACTGATGTCCACTTGCTCAGGGCAGGGGGGCTCCCTCCTCCATGGTAGCTGAGGTAGCCCGTCCAGAGCAGACCCTCAGACCCCAGAGCAGAACTGTACTCACCAGCGGAAGGAAGGTCAGTAGGGGCCGAACTCTTGGCCGAGGTTTCAGGGTGGCTGTTCCTGACTCGCTGACCACGTCAAGCCGATTGTCTCCATAATAAATCCCATCTAGAGGAGACAAGTGAGGGGAGATGGTGAGCGGAGATCAAAGGCATGTTGGCTACTGAGTTTAACCTGCCCTGCAGTTCCCAGTGAGGAAAGCCAGGCACACAGTTGGCTGTCTGAGTCAGATCCTGTGGACGGACGGGGTATGTGCTCAAGGGACAGAATCCCGACAGACTTCAAAGGGCGATTTCTTGGGGTTTTCTGCAGCATTCCTGGGGCTCTTAGCTCACAGCAGCCATCTCTCCTGAGGCAACCCCTACAGGTCTTAAGGCCTCATTCCCACAAGTCAGCCCTCCTTTCGGGGCCCTGAGAACTTGGCCAAGGCCCCAGCTACAGCTTATCTCAAAGAGAGGGGAAAGAACAAGCTGGCTTTTTTCTCAAGTGTTTGAACTTCTAATCTGGAACAAGCAGAGTAGAAGAGGCCACCTGCTGCCCCCAGTGGCCCAGCACCTACCTTCTGGACCCTTCCAGTCCCCAACCCATCAGTGGTTGTATATACGACTGCGTCTGATGTGCCCTTGAGGGCAGAGCAGAAAGAACAGGACGGTAGGGCCCACGTGACCCAATACAAGTCCAAGCTGTGCCACTTAACCTCTCTGGCCTCGGTCTTCCCATGTGTGCAGTGGGAGTGGCGATAGTGCCAACCTTGTAGGACTGTTGTGAGGAGTAAGTGGGGTCGGCACATAGTACGTGCTCTACAAACGTGGTCCCCTTCCTCCTCCTCCAGCTACTGGGCCTGTGCTCTGAGCTGCTTCTCCTGCAGTCGGGAGGGTGTGAGGAGCCAGCCACACTTTCTCAATGTCCTATGGCCTTTAAGACACGTCAACAAGAATTTCACATCCTATCTCTGGTTTACACTGTCTTCCAAGAGGCAGGGATCACAGTGGGCCTCTTCCTCTGTCACTCACAAGCCAGGAGGGCTTGCGTGAACTTAGCAGGCCGTGAGGGGCTTCTCCTTCTTTGGAGACAGAGGAGAAACAGAAGAAAGGTCAAAATCCCAATGAATCAGAATCTCACTGACTGACACATTAAAGGAGAAAAGTGCAGGAAAGCCAAATATTTTACTCAGAAGAGACAGGGCTTGTCAGGGAGGCCTGAGATCAGCGCACATCCATCCCCAGTTCCTACACGTAGGGCCGTGGCTCTCTGTGGGACAGCCTGGGCTTCCAACAGGACGGGGGCACTCCTCAGAGCTGCTGCCCTACCAGGCAGAGGGTCCTTGGTACGGTTAAGGCTCCCCATCCCTCAGTGGGGCCAAAACGAAGGTTTCCTGTGTGTTCCACACGTCTGGGGACTCTCCAGTTCCCAGCGACAGGATTCCCCAGGCCCGGCTGCCACCAGGCTCCTCATTTGAGGCTGGAGACCCGGAGGGGCGGGGCAGGGGGTGGGGAAGCAGGAGGAGAGGGCAGGTTTGGCCCAACTAGAAACAACAAAGGTAGAGATAACCGGAGTCACCCAGCAGCTACTCTTAAAGCCCACCGGATTCTCTCTGGCTCCCAGGAGTCTGGGTGTTGGCGCCAGGATCTCCTGGGACATTCTCCAGATAGTGCTGTGAAGACCTTAGATCTGATAAGGCTACGGGCCCTTTGCGATGGTGGGGGTGGGGTGGGGACCGGTGGGCAGCGCACTCTCCCAGGCAGAGCCTGTCTCTGATCTCCGCACGGTGCTGGGGGCTGCCGCTGAGTAACCAGGGCATTAACGGCTCCTGTTAGGATGTCTCGAGGAACTTTAGAAACAAGCAACTCAGCAAGGTAACCACTGTAATAGTAGAAATAATACAATAATAGGTAAAACTTAAGAGACAGTTTTAATAGGCTGGCATCTTATACGTTATTAATTCCTTTAACTCTCAAACCAGCCCTACGCAATTTGCAAGATCGTCATCCCTGTTTTACAGGCGAGGAAACTTGGGCAGAAAGAGGTCGAAGACCCTGCCTGAAGCCTCAGAGCAAGTGGAAAAGCTGGGGTCTCTGGTCCACTGCACACACTTCTCCCAAAGCAGGGTTTCCTCATCCCACCGCATATAGGACCTGGAGGGGAGGGTGGGGGCTCCAGGGGCAGGGTAAGGGAGGCTCAGCTTGGCCGAGGAGCAGGGCTGGGAGGAGTGGGAGGTGAAGCAGCTTGCCCAGGCCCAGGCAGGGATCAGGGCGCAGCCAGGTCTGACCCACACACAGGCGGGCCCTCTAAACCCCTAAGACTCCGTGACTCAGCCTTGACTACAGCACTGTCGGGTTGGTTTGTGGCTGTTTTCAGCAGGGGAACCCTTTCTAAGAACACGTCACCCAAGGGCAGGGGCTGAGGGTGGGGGAGGGGTGGAAGGCCCAGGTGGCTCCCTCCTCACTTGGGCACTTCTTAAAAGTCCAGTTTCACTTCCCCGTTCTGAGGTGTGGCTGGGGGTCAGGGAGGGGAAGGGCCCAACCGCAGCGGGGTCGGGGCGGGGTGGTGTGAGAACCGGGCCACCGCTGCCTTTGAAGAGGCGGGAGACCGTGGGCCCAGGACTGCAGGCGAGCGGTGAAGAGGCTAGAAAACACGAGAAAAGAGATTCACCCCCACACCCCTCTGGAAGGAACAAAGTCTTGCAGACACTTTGATTTTAGCTCAGTGAGAGCAGTGTCAGACTTCTGACCTACAGAACCGTAAGATAATAAATGTGTGCTAGTCCTCCAGGGTTCAAGGTCAGGGCTGGGGTTTTCTGAGCCTCCAAGTCAAGGTCCAAAATTAAACAGAAAGGCAACAGAGTCCAACCCTGGGGATTTTCCTATGGAAGTAAGCACACTCCGGTGGGGTCACAGTGTCGGGGACACGAGAACGGGCCTCCCTGAAGAGCAGCCCCCTCCTCAACTGAGAGGCCAGGCCACCTCTTGAGGAAGGAAGGGATCATGAGGAGGGAAAGGGATGACAGCGGAGGCTGGACAACTTGCGCTCTGAGGACCCAGTGAGGCTGCTCAGTCAGAAAAGAGGGGCCCTACCCTAGCGTCTTGTCCGCCCTGAAACTGGGGAATGCCCTTGGTGTCTGTCTTTCCTGCTGGAAGAGTTCTCGGGGGTGTCGGGGGTTTCGAGCTTGCCACACGGAGCATAGAGGCAGCTGAGGAACATCTGGTGGGACTCAGAGGGCAGGAAAGAGAGCCACTGTGGACCCAGACGCTCCCAGAAGAAGGGGGCAGGCACCTGCGAGAGACCCCTGGAGCAAGCCCAGCAGCCAGGAAGCCTTGGGAGACCCCAGGAGCAGGGTCTGAGCGGAGTCTGGGCTCCAGGCAGGCCACAGTCCTGTCGAGATAGAAACTCAAGCTTCTATCTGGCGAATTCGTCTAAAAATGACACAGTGGTAAAATAGGAGAAAATCCAGGTATGCCTCCATTTACTCAGACCTGATCATTAAAAGAATCCCAATTTTCCCCCAAATGAAATCCTCTTTCTGATGCATTTGTGCACAGGGTTCCTTACCTGTGATACGTTCGTTCCCCCTTCATAGATTGGCAGGAAACGAAGGCAGCTCTGCTTTCACTTCCACTCCCTCAAAGACTTGAGTTCACATAAATACCACCCGGGGTCCGAACGCCTGGTCCACAACTAGTTCTGGGGCCACGCCCATTTCAGTAGGAAGGCTTCACCTCAGATCTCAACCTGGGGGCCGCAGCTCCCTTCCTGCCAGGCCTGCAGCTGGGAAGAGGAGAATCTGACTCCGCCTTTGGTTTGAGGGGTATTTACATGGTGGCTGAGGGTGCCTGGGCTTGGAGAAGGTCCCAGCCCCCAGCTGGGAGGGGAGGCCAGACGTGGGGTCGAGGCCCAGGTGTAGGTCACAGTGGTATGGAGCTCACCCAAACTTCACTTCCAGTCCCTGCTCCGTCACTTACAAACTGTGGGGCCTTGGGAGTGTCGCTAGATCTCTCTGAGGCAGTGTCCCCCTCTCCGTCAATGTAAGTAATGGCCCCTACTGGGTGGGTTGGTGTGAGGCTGAGTGAGATCAAGTGTGCAACAGATTGGCACAGTACCTAGTAGATAATCTGTGCTCATCGATGGGGAGGGCTCCTTATTGTCATCAAGGGTTCAGGCTGAGCTTGAATTAGGCCATGTCACTGGCAAGGTGTGGCCTGTACCTGGGAGGCAGGTGGCCCTTCATTCTCTTCTCAGGGGGAACTCAGAATGGGCACTCGAGGCCACCCTCCTTGCAGATGAGGACAGGAGGCCCAGAGCGGGTGGGGCTGGCCCCAGGTCACAGGGCAGCAGGGGTGCCAAGGTCCACACAGGGCCCCGACCAGTAGTGCTGGGCTCCAGGCACAAACATCAGGGCCTTACCTGTGGCACACGGCTTCCTGCCTCTCCCCAGACAGGGCAACCTGGTTCTCTCCGTCTGGGGCTGTGCGTGTCTGTGTGTGCACGTGTGTGTAAATGTGTGTTAAGTGGCAGGGGGAGTGGCCAGCTTTGGGGAAGCTGAGAGCTGGGCACAGCCCCTTTTTCTTCTCCCCCAGAGGAGGAGCCTCCCACCAGGTCTTGGGCCTTTCTTTTCTCAGAGTTCAGGGTTGAAAGCCTGGGAAAGGGCTCCTGCTCCCCAACCCCAAAGCTGGCCCTGGGTCCCATGGAGGCTGGGGTCCAGGACGGTTATTTAGCTCTTTCCCCAAATCCTAAACAGATCCAAACTAGGAAAATATTGGTAATAAAAATGCAAATGTCTAACATTTTTAAGCCTGTAGAATGAGCTAGGCACTGTTCCAAGTATCCTTCACAAACCTGTTGGGGAGGTGCTTTTATTATCCCCACTTTGCAGATGGGAAACTGAGGCTCAGAGAGGTCAAGTCCCCTGCCCAAGGTCCCATGGGTGGTGAGTAAAAGGGGCCAGGATTCAAGCCCAGGTATCTAACTCTGGAATCTGATTCCCTCTGGTACTAGCCAGCACGGCAGGGAAATGACGCAGGGATCCTGCAGGCTTTCCCTTGGTCTCCAGTCCTGCTGGAGTGAGACTGGAGAGTGGGTGAGGCCTAGAGGAAACACGAACCCGGGAGTCGGAACCCCGGCTCCTCCGTGTGACACCTGCCGGCTTTGAGCACTCACTCAGGCTCTTTCCCCACTGTCAATGGGGATACTTGCTCCTGTTCTGCAGGAAGCGGCCCAAAATCAGGGGAGGGAAAGAAGCTAGCATGACAAGATGAAGGCTGGGGTGATGATGTACAACCCCAAATTGCTGGGAGCCCCCAAATGACCCCAGGAGCACAGGCCACCAGTCTGATTGGATCCCAGGGGCTTAGGAGGGGTGGGGCTTTAGCTGGGGGAGTTTGTTGCTTGGACCCAGAGTAACCCAGAACCCCAAAACAGACCCCCCACCTCTAGCCCTCTGGGGTGGAGCATGCAATCCTTGGCCACCAGGGGACCCCTAGCTTTTCAGGGAAGCGGTTGGAGGGGGGATATAAGTGTGACCCACAATGGCATTAATAAGGCCCTTTATTGCTAATTAACAGGTCCACATGACAGGAACCTGAAAAGGCCAGTCTGTCCCGGCAAGCTCCAGCAGGCCTCACCCTGGCACTAGAGAGAGTTCTTTGTCCAAGGGCAGAGGGGACGCTGGAGGCCGGGTGGGGCAGGCGGCCACAGAGCAGAGGAGGGGGGACAGGGAGGAAGGAGCCTCACTGGAGCAGGGAGAGCACAGCGAAGAGGCCCTCTGCTTCTCTGCTTCCCGGCTGGGACGGATGTGCTACTCAAAGCAGGGTCTGCAGCCAGGCCCACGGCCTTCACCTGGGAACCAGTGGTAAGTGCAGTCTCCCTCCAGCCCAGCTGCCGGTCAGAATCTGAGCCTGCCAAGGCCCCAGGGCCACTGACCGTCTGAACTGCCCTGAGAGGAAGTGACTGAGTCCTCTCACCTACCTGAGCCTTCTGAGTCTGTTTCCTCGATTGAGAAAACATACACAGTTTTGAGCAAAGTGCCAGGTTCAAGAAATAACTGATAATGATATTATTGTCATTAATGTATTGGCTGGGAGAGAAGGGGCACCCTGTAGCCATCTGCAGTGGTCAAGGAAGGGGCTGTCTTTCTGAATTGAACTATGGAGACAAGAGGAGCTTATATAATGGGGCGGCAGGAAGGGTGTGTATGTGTGTTCTAACTACCAACAAACCACAGCGCAGCTCCAGGGGACGGGAATAAACAACAGACTCCTTCACGCCCTGTGCTGCTCAGGTTAGCTCTCCAAAGGCAGGTGCCAGCCCCACTCTGGTGGGAAATAGTGCATTGGCCAAAAAGTTCATTTAGTTTTTTTCCATACAATGGCTCTAGTAGTGCTTAGTTGTCTTTAACTTCATTCGAAACAATTTTGTTAGATTGTATTGTGACAGCTGTCATATCAGCATGCATTTAAAAAAAGCTTATCAAAATTGGTAAATTGTTGGGCAGCCTTTTTAATAATGAATATGAAAGAAAATACATAACAATTTTGGCATGTTATGCTTTATTGTTTCAAGAAAAGTAAAAACACCCTGGCTGGCATGGCTCAGTGTATTGAGCGCTGGCCTGCAAATCAAAAGGTCTCCGGTTCCATTCCCAGTCAGGGCACATGCCCGGATTTCGGGCCAGGTCCCCAGTAGGGGGCATGCAAGAGGCAACCACACATTGATGTTTCTCTTCCTCTCTTTCTCCCTCCAATCCCCTCTATCTAAAAATTAATAAAGTCTTTTTTTAAAAAAAAGGTAAAAACACAATTGAAACACAAGAAAAGATTTGTGCAGTGTATGGAAAAGGTGCTGTGACTGATCAAACATTTCAAAAGTGTTTGTCAAGTTTCTTGGTACTACTGACATTCTGGCTGAATAATTTTTTCCTGTGGGGCTGTCTTATACACTGGAAGATGTTTAGCAGCACCCCTGGCCTCTACCCACTAGAAGCCAACAGTGGGAGATAGCCAACATACTCAAGCTATCCAAATCAATAAAGTTATTGGTGAAAATGAAAAATGTGTCTTTTGTTTTATGGAAAAAATCATGTGGACCTTTTGGCCAACCCGATAAATGCTCAGCTCCTGGGGTCCACAGTCCCCCTGCCCTCCAGCCTGGCCTGAGACACAGGGCCAGGGATGACAGAGCCAGCAGCCACCAGGGAGCACTGGGGCTCTCCTACTCAGGAGCTGGCCACAGTTCCTGCACATTCATTTGGAACCTGCTGGAAGTTAGGGGGAAAGAGAATGGCCCGCCTGCCAACCTGGTGGATTATGGACGTGGCTCAAAGCTGGGGAAGGACACCCCAGGACTCTCAAACCCTCCTGTACAGAAGAGTCACCTAGGAGCTGGCGAAAATCCAGACCCTGGGCCCAAGCCCAGTGTTCTGACTTCAGGTGCCTGAGGTGGGACTCCAGAAATCTGCATTTTAAATAAGTGTTTTAGGTGGTTGTGACAAAGGTGATTTACATATGAAGGGGGAAAAGAGAGTTCCCCAGCAAGCCTGGTGTCCCTTGGCTGGGCTGGGGTGGCAGCAGCACAGCTCAATGAACCCAGAAGACGAGGGACTGGTCCAGAGCACCAGTCTCAGGCTGCTCCAGCTCAACCCTCATCTCAGGGTTTCAACGACCCCCTCTCTGTTTTCTCGTGCATTCGGAAAAAACTATTGTGCAGCCTGAGGCCCTTCCTCGGGCAGGGGAGGCAAGAGGCTTAATGAGGGTTGAGATTGCATTAAGTGAAGCCGTCAAGTGAAGTACTTTTCTGGAATAAATGTTATGGAAATTCTTTAAAGAAAAACTGTCACCACCTTCACACGACTGTTTGCATTTTCCCACTGCACCCAGCCTACCTTTGTGCAAAAAGTTTTACGCAGCTGTAGCCACGGGGCGAGCTAGTGGCTACCCCTTGCTTCACACACACACACACACACACACACACACTGATTTCCCCTCTCTATCCCACTGCCTGATCTCCAAGGGCTGGATACCACCAGCACAGAAGAGAATGTCATAGACCCAGGGGCCCGATGAGATTTTAGAATGGCTCTTCATGCCTCAGTTCCCTCTGGTCTACAGAGGAGAGGGAACTGAAACTGGCAAGGGCAGGCAGTGCTGGGGTTGGGAAGGAACCAACAGTAATACAGGGCCAGCTGGTAAATACTTTCAGCTTCGTGGGCCAGTAGTCTCTGCTTAATTCCACTATTTAATTCCGCCACTGTAGCAGGAAATTGGCCATAAACAACATGGAAATAATGGGCAAGGCTGGTTGTGTTATCTACAAAAACAGGCCATGGGCTAGATTTGAGCCAGGTCCATGATCTGCCGGTCCTTGCTTCAGGGCATTTCTCTGTGCAATGCTCTTCTCTGTGTAATGCTCTTCAAAGCACTGCCACATACAAACCTCACGCGGTCATCTGTAGGCAGACTCGACGCCATCCCCACTTCACAGAAGAAAAAATTGAGGCCCAGAGAGTGGCCAGGCCCATTATTGACAGAGACAGGACCCCAAGGCAGGTCTGGCACCTCTATCGCATCACAGAATCCCCAGCACTGGTCCCTCCCATCACCAACTCCAAGTACTTGTCCTGTTCAGCAGGGAGCAAGGCCTCTGCCACAGCCACCGGCACCTGGGGAGACACCCCAGAAGCAGCGAAGAGCCATGCTGCCGGGTGCACAGTGTTTCCCAGCCTTCCGTGTGCGGGGTGCAGCCGGGCTGAGTCAGCTGGGGCCCGGCCCAGCCCGGGAACGGGAGGAGCTGCCACGGGTTCCAGCTCTGCCCGGGCTGGTGAAGGCAGCAGCAGCTGGCTGAAGGTGACGCCACCGTGCCCCCATTCCTCTCACCGAGGGGAATGAACCCCAACAGCAGCCAGCTCAGTATGTGCACAAACTACAAACGATGAGAAGCGTGAGTGGGGTGGAAGGGGGCGAGGCGGGCGGAGGCAGGTCTCAGGTAGACGCCTTCTCAAGTCCAATTCCCCCGTGAATGACCTTCCAGAAAGCCAGTTCAGCAGCTGGCTAGGAGTGTGGCCCTTGAAGCCCACCTGCCTGTGCTCAAATATCGGCTCTGCCTCCCAAGAGAAATGTCGGGGTGATGGAAATGTTCTAAATCCGAACCATGGTCAAGGTTGCACAACTCTATACAGCTACTAAAAAGCATTAACTTATACATTTAAGAAAAGCTTGGCTTGGCCTTTTAAAGCTGTGTGATCTTGGATATGTCACTCCACCTCCCTGTGGCTCAGCCTCCTCATGTTGCCAAACAGGGATAGGAGTTCCCGCACCAGAGGCTGGATGAGGACTCAACAAGTCAACAACACAAGGACTTTAGAACGGTACCTCACACCCATGGGGATCAATAAATGTTTGCCACACAGGCAAGGGGAGGTTTTGGGCCTCAGAGAGTTACATTTGGCCGCACACATGTATTTGTATGTTTCTAAACCGACCTCCAAACCGCCCGGCCCCTCCTAGCCTTTGCTCCTGCTGTTTGCTCTGCAAAATGCTCTCTGCCCTTCCCTCTCAGCTCAAACACTGGTTGCAATCAGAGGTAACCTCTCCTCTCGGCTCCTTCTGCACTTAATCTTTTATAGCAAAGGCTTGGGAAGGGCGAAGTGGCATATGGGTAACTGTTCACCCACTGGTTTGGGATCCTTGGGCCAGGGAGAGGCAATGTCTTGTTTGCCCTACTCCTGCCCAGGTGGCTAGCGTCCCTACAGTGACACCCTAGGTGCTAAACTGAATCCAACAGCAGGGGCGGAGGACATAACATTCTCTGTGGGTCTGCGCACGGTGCCCATAAAGGTCAGTGAAGGTAATGGGGTGACGATGAAGCTTAATTAAGGTGGGCTAAAGCACTGATGAGTGACGCTCCTTGGGTCCAGAGCCCTGGATCATAGGCGACCGCTACCCGCCTGGTTTCCTATTTCTTACAGAGGGTACAAAATGCAGCAAGAAGCAGTGAGAAGGTGACCTACAGCCCTCTAGAAGCCGGGGCTGGGCTGGCATGGTGTTTTCCCATGCCTGCAGAGAGATACCCCAGGAGGCAGGTTCACAGTCAGGAGGGGCCGTCCTGGCCCGCACTGTCCCATCCCTGGCTTCCGGATGGAGCACAGAGACAGCCCAGGCCCCAATAAGTGAGTCGGCGTCTTGCACAGGCTGGTACTCTGCTAGCAGTGGCTCCTGTTGGCTTTCCCCGGCCTCCCCTGTACGGGGCCAAGTGTGTGGGCGCCCAGATAGCAGCCCCTCTCTTTGCCTACCTATGACTCTGCGGGAAAGGGGTGGGGGGTCCTGGAGGGAACGGAGAAAGCAGGGGGAAGGTTGAAGGGGCCACCCCTAGCCCTCAGCTGTGGGGGCCCTTCTGACTCCACAGCATCGCAGGGGGAGGAGGGGCCACCGCAAGCCCCAGGAAGCCTTCAGGCAGCACAGCCCTAACTTCCAGCCGGGAGGGAAAATAAACACCTGGGAAGAGGGACTAGGACCCGACGCGGACCGCAAAGGTCTCCGCCTTCCCACAGGGAGGGTCCCCTCCTTCGCGCACCCCGGTCCCCCACGGCCCTTTGCCAGAGGCACCTCGCGGCGCCGCCTCCCCCTCCCGGGGCAGCTGCTTGGTGGCCGGTTCGCAGGGTCGGACGCGCCCCTTTCCCTCCGCCCCGCGCCCCTCCGAGAGCCCCGGAGCGCGGAGCGCCGCCGGCCGCCGCCCAGCGGTGGGGGCCGCCACCGCTCTCCCCCCGGCGCACTTACCGAAGTCCCTGGTCCCCTCCTCCGCGGCCTCTTGGGTGAAAATCCAAGGGGGATTGGTCGCGTAGAGGGAGGTGGTGCTGGGGTTGGCATGCTTCTTGCCGAAGATTTTGCTGAAGGTGCCCTGCACCGTCTGGTTCTTTTTCATGCTGCCGCAGGCCGCGCGGGCGCCGGAAGAGGACCGGCCCTCGGTAGCCCTGCCCTGCCCCGCACCGAACCCCGCACCGAACCCCGCACCGTCTCCCCACGGCACAGTCTACCAGGCCATGCTCCCTGCAGTCCTCCCCGCCCGCGCGACGGGCGACAGGTGGTGCGGGCCCCGCCGCTTGCCTGGAAATGCGAGCTACCTGGGCAGGTAAGAGGCTGCGGCTGGGAGGGGCCCCGCCGAGGGGCCCCGCCCCGCGGACGCCCAACTCCCCCGGCAGCATTCCTGCCCGCCTCCGTCTACAACAGGCCATTGTTGGCACGGCCCGGTGGGCTGGGGACCTCGCCCGGCCCACGCCCCGCCTGGAAGAAGGGCCGCCCCCTCCCCCGTCTCCTCCTGGCCCTCCTCCTCCACCCCCCTTCTCCCTGGGGCAGGGAGGCAGCGGGCAAGCGAGCCCCTTGCGTCTAAGGAGGGTCATGGCCGGGTCGGGGTGGGCACTTTGGGAAGGGCTCCGTGCCCAGCGCCGGGGAGAGGCTGGCGAAAGTAAGCCGAAGGGTTCTACAAGCCCTCGAAAACGTGGGCCACTCGCCTTTAATGGATATAACGAAATGCCCCCAAAGGAAATAGGTAAGCCCCCGGCGAGGGGTGGTGGGGAGCATTAAACTAGCGTCCCAATCTGATGACAGAGGTGGAAAGTATCTCCACTGACAGAGCTCCAAAGAGAATGTAGGATGACTAAGTCTCGGCATGTTCTGTGTATGTCAGTTTATCAGTTTCTTTCTGTAGTTGAGTGAATATAACTTTTAAAAACTCAAGACGGGCCCATCCCACCTAGTGGTAGGTTCACTTTTCAGGGAAATGAGCCGCGGACCTTCGAGGTGCGTGCGGGTCCGTCCCGGCCGAGGCAGGGGGTGCCGTCCACTGGGGGGGGGGGGTCGGACGAGCACCCCCAGGACGGTGTGAGAGATGCTGAGGAGGGAGTCCGGCCACAGGGCTGGATGTTGATGCTTTCCGGGCAGCGGCGGGAAAGGCGGGGGCTGGTGGCCGGTCTCGGATCATCGGTGCTCCGCGGGAGCAGCAGGGCTGCGGCTCCCCTCTCTCCCCCAGGCGCTGGAACTGTATCTCTTTGTGCCAACGGCATTTCCTCCTCGGCTTTCCATTCCGAAAACATTGAAAGGCCGGTAAAATGCCCACCTGTATTCCTTCCTCCTGGGTTTACCCATTGTTAACGTGCTGCCACATCTGCACCCCTCCCTCTCCACGCACGCTTTTTCCCTTCTGACGAAGGTTAAAAGTTGTGGGTACCGGGGAACATCTCCCCACCCCAGCCAGCATTTCAGTTCCCATCGCCTAAGAATAAGGACATCTTCCCAAGTGACCACAACCCAGTCCCACACTCACATGTCACACTGACACACTATTATCACCTCCCAAAATGTTGTTTTCATTTTTTAATCCACAGTCTAATCAAGCCTCACACATCGCATTGCTTGTCATGCCCCTTTAATCTCTTAATTTAGCCCAGCCCTGCGTCTTTTATTTTTCATGACAGTGATCTTTTGGAAAAGTCCTCTTGACCTGCTCCAGTGTTAATGGGCAGAATGAGTCGGACCTTCGAGACAGTGGCTGTGAGGCGCTCCCAAAGTGGTTTTGATTGGAGACCTGCCTGTGGCCAGCACTGTCCCACCCCACCCACCATGTGGCGCTCCTGGAACCCACTCCCGTTCACTCAAGGAGCATCCGTGGAGGCCCTCCCACTGCCCGGTGCTGTGCCCAGGGCCTGGGTACTCGGGGGTGTCAGAGAATTAGAGAAGTCTTATTTCCACCATGGAGGATGTCGGGCTTAATCAGGGAGATGAGGTTTTACACGGTTCAAGGTGGCAGGTCATGATGACTAAACACAGAATAGTGATGGTTGTCACCAATACAGTGGGAATTCAGAGGAGGGGAGGTCAGTGTGGGCTGGAGAAATCCAGGGAGGCTTCTTGGAAGAACTGAGACTTGAGGTGGCCCATGAAAGACGACAAGGATGTTAGCAGAGAAGGGGAGGAGCTCGTTCTAGGGCATGCACACATATCCATGCCATCCGTCCCTCTAGGCTCCTGCCTCCACATCATGGTTCCTCCCACTGCCCACCCAGGAAGGGCACAAGAGAACCCCAGCTGCCCCATCACGCCCTGGACATCCTCACAGCCCCCCCCCCCGCCCCCCAGTGCTCTAGACACAGGCCCAAGAGGAGGGTTTCTTTCTCTGAGACCTCTGAGGTAAGAGGTCCCTCCCACCTTGGGTAGCTCCTGGGTTGTGACACCCAGAACCAGCCCCAGCAGAGCCCTCATTGAGCGGCTCCATTCATATGCAACTTCCACTGTATAACTGACATTCTTGAGAACTGCTGTGCGCCCAGCTCTGGGCTGCAAAGGATCTGAAGGATCCGGAGAAATCAAAGGCATGGTTCCTGCATTCAAGTTGCTTTAGTCTACTTGGAGAGATTAAGAGTGGGAGGTAAATGAAGAGGAGGAGGCTAACAGTGGGTTAGAGGTTCAGAGGAGCAGCAACCAGCCTGGGCCGCAGGACCTGGGAGGGCGTGCGTGCGGCAGGTGTGAAGGCCTCTGCAGGGGCTCGGGACAGTGGGGCTGGGAAGCGGGGAGTAGGAAGGAGGTCCCAGCAAGGTTGGTGGGGGTTGGGGGAGGCTTAAAAAGGTCAGCTGGAAAGATCATAAACAACTCAAATTGTCCACCTGGAAGTGACTGATTAAGTAAATTATGGCCTATCCACACATTGGCATAACAATGCAACTCTAAAAATGACTGAGTCAGCCGACTGTGTCCAGTTATCTTCAAGATAAACTGATAAACTGTTGACAAACGGTGTGTGTAGATGCTACCATTAGGGTCAGGATAAGAATGATCTTATTTGTTTTTATTGGCGCAGAGACACTTTGAAACGATCCATAAGAAATGAATAAGTGTTTGCTGGGGGGGGGGTGGAAGTTGAGCAGGGGGACTGGGCAAATGGGGGGATAGACCTGGGAGGGAGAATTTTCACTGGGTGCTTTTTTTATACTTTTAAATTTACAGCCATATAAATATATTTCCTATTTAAGAATTAAAGCTCCCTGGCCAGGAGGCTCAGTTGGTTGGAGCGTTGCCCCATATGCCAAAAAAGGTTGTAGGTTTGATCCCCAGTCAGGGCACATATAGGAGATTGATGTCTCTCTCTCTCTCTCTCTCTCTCTCTCTCTCTCTCTCTCTCTCTCTCCCTGCCCCCTTCCTCTCTCTCTAAAGTCAATAAGCAGATCCTTGTGTGAGGATTTTAAAAAATTAAAGAAAAATAATTAGGAATAAGAGTTTAGTCTAGAAATGTGGTCCATAAATCAGCAGCATTTGCATCACTTGGGGTCTTACTAGAAATGGAGACACTCTGGCCCCATCCCAGACATTGGGCAACCTCTTTGGGCCTCAGTTTGTTCATCTGTAAAATAGGCTATTAATTTAAGGTCATTATGAGTTTCAGTGAGCTGATGTGTTAAGGTAGCCAGCAGAGGATCTTTGTTTTAACAAGATCCCCACGTGATTCCGGAGCACAAGGTCTGAGAGGCTCTGGCTGCTGGGAGCAGGCGAGGGTGGCCGGTAATAGCTCTGTGTGGAGGGTGTTCATCTGCGGTCTGGGTGAAGGATGGGTGGGAAGAAGCCAGTGTAGGCTGAGGGGCTAAGGGAAGAGGGAAGGGGCTTAATTCATTACTTAACTGGGTGATCAGGTGGTTAATTGATACAAGCAGGAGGGGATGGGGACGGATTTGTGTGCTGGTGGTGGAAACGGAAAGAGCAGAGCTGTTAGTTTGTGGGGCATCTCTTAGGAAGCAAGGAAGGTAAACAGCTTGCATGCAGGAGGAGAAGTTAAAAGAACACCTCTGAGCCAGTTTGCTCAGCTGCAGCATGGGCACCACGAGGCCCGCCCCAGGCTGCTATGAAGACTAAATGAGACAGTGGACAGGGAGTGCCCGGGACAGGGGCACTCCTGGAGGGTTTTTTTGGGGGTTTTTTTTGTTTTGTTTTGTTTTTTTTCATTTCTCCACACATGCAGTCCCCTTCACAAGCTACACAGCTTGTACGACGCATTTTGGGACGGGAGGGAAGGGGAAACCAGGGCGCCGTATGAGCACCAGAGGGCTTGAGCCTGCAGTCCAGGTGTCAGGGCCCGGCCTGCCCTTGCACACCAGTGGGGTGAAATGCACCCCAGTTTCACTCCCACGTTGGTGGGGACTCAGAGGGAGTCTCTGGACAGCCTGGGTTCAGAGGTGAGCAGTGTCCCAGCTGAAGTTTCACCCTGTCAGCCGGGCAGTTTTTGAGGCCACGGTCCCTGGGGCAGGATTGGGGCCCACTCCTTTGCCCAGCTCAGCACCCTGTGGAGCCAGAGTGTTGCTCGGCCCTCACTCCATCTAATAACCACGCCTGACAGCTGCTCCCCAGGAAAGAAACAGCCAAATAGCAGCCTCCCCTCGAAACAGCCCAAAGCCCAATCCTGTAATTAAACCTCTGCTCGGCAATTACTTAGTAACCTCCAAGAGCTGACATTACTGGCCAGTTCTGGAATGTGGGGTGGGATTGGGGCCGGGGAGTGGCAGTCTCCCCAGAAACTCAGGCCTCTGTCAAGTATGTGGTCTCTTCTCCAACAAAGCAAGTGCTTCTGGCTGGGAGAGCGCACTCTGAGTCAGAGAAGGGCCAGCTGAGAAGTCCCGAGAGTCACCTTCATCATCCATCATCGTCACCCCAGGTCTCTGCAGCTAGCTCTCCTCAGGCAAAAGTCATCCCACTCCCAAATGATGCTGAGCTGTAGGCCATCTTGTCCAGCTTCTTGTTGCAGGCCGCAGACACCCGATGTCACACCAGCTTCTGAGACTGCTCCTTTGGCCCTCGGGAGGGTGGGCTCCAGTCCCCCTGCCTTGGCATTCCTCCGAGCTGAGGAAATCTGGCGAGTGTGAACTCCTACATCCTGACGGGGGCTTGGGGAAGTCATTACCTGCTAGCCGAGATGTGGGCATCCAAAGTCCAGTCCTGGGGGAAGGGGTGTTCGGAGGTGCTAGAGAGAGACTCATTTCCCTTTGTAACCATGGATTATGTCAATGGGACCGTGACATGGTAGGAGAGGTCCTGGCTGGGGAATAGGTTTCAGTCCTGACGAGGCCACTTAGCAAGGGTGTGTGATCTTGG